TTGCACTTCTAGAGTATACGCACGCTGCTTTGCTGCCTTGTTCGCAATCAAGGTAGTGCACATGTTCACGACCCACCTTGGACCAGTGCAAATTACTTGTGCATTCAGTACACATCTCGGCGATTACCAGCTCCCCAGCCTTGTACATGTATGCAAGACCCAATACTGTGCAGTACCTGGTGGATCGCCACTGGTGATTCCTTAAGTTCTGACTGAGCTACATAGGCCAACGCAGCAACAGAATTCATGGGCGTACGGCCTGCATTAGCGGCGTACAAACGATGCTGCTCCGAATTAGACGCAGGATGCGTGGATACTTTTTTTTGCCACTTTCATCTGCTGCTAAACAAATACACAGGCAGATACTGCGGCTGCGAAGCAGGCACAGGAGATGCGTTGACAAAGGATAAGCATTAACTCTTTCATAGGTTATACGTTTTGCTATATCTCGGATGCTTATTTATGATCACAAGATTTCATTCTACTCCTCAATGTGTCCAGCATAGCGGTCGGCAAGTAATCAACAACGTAGCTAATACTACTGAAGTAACAGCTATAGATGCTGGCTTGCGGCTACAAGTGGGCCCGCTCAAAGCGATTGCAGCATTTTACTACTGTAGTATTACATCGAAATAATTGCATGACCGTGGTCATTTCGGGTGTGTCGAGCGAATATTAAATACTTAGTTAAGTATTCGCTAATGAGGAATTTTCAGAGCTTCTTCGTGCAAGGCGCGACTTTGTTAGGTTTACCTATCTGGATACCTTGGGCGCTTTACCTGGCCTAAGATCGTATTTTTATGCGCCTACGGGGTTCTTCTTGAGCGCTGCCAGGTGCTCACCATACTTCTCCAGCAACGTGACTTGGTCCTTCTTGTTTCGGTTCAAGAACTCACGCAGCCACTTGACATTACTACTATTGAGATTCAGGGACTTTGCCAGGTTCTTAACGGTGACGCCCCCTTCATCCCACGCCGCAAAATATTGTTTCTGCCTGGATTGATGCTCTAGAATCCCTTTCACCTCGCTCAGTGGAAGTATTTTCAGGTCGTCGCCATCGAAGTGCCAGACCCTTAGAAATCGGGTGCTCTTGCTGGCACCTACCATATCAAACGACTGGATACGATTCGATGTCGCCTTTCGGGAAAGCTGCAGCTTGTTTGTCGAAGCAGCGTCGCAGCTTGCAAGGAGAGTGATCACAGCAACGAGCAGAATGTAAACCCCACGCATCATTGCTTGGCAGAAGTTAGGACTCAGGTACTTGAGAGGCCAGAAGGAAATTATGAACTGAAAGGAGTCAAAACATACATGTACTGGCGATCTCAAGGACCCACCACTGGTGGCACCACGGCAGATTCACATCTGGGATTTGATCACAACGGTTCTAGTAGAATTTCTACCGGGTACACTGTAACTTCAAGTAACTGCCCACGAGCGTTTTCTCAAAACCAGTACCTTATCCGTTCACTATTCCTAACATCAGTACTCTTCCCAAAACCAGTACTTACCAACTCGAAACAATGCCCAAAACTAGTTCCAGCAGTGTACTGAGTTTTGGGAAGGGTACTGGTATTGGGATTAGTGTCTGAATTTCAGACTAAAAGGAGTACTGGTTCTGGGAAAACGTGTTTTTGCACGAATCGTAGCCAGCTACGACAATGTATGTAAACATTCGTACTAACAATGTAATCCCAAGGTCACTTCTAGAGTCTTGATGTGACTTTGAGATTGGTACGAATGTTTACATACACAATTGATTCAAGAGAGTCAAATTGAGAGCCGCCAATATCAAATTAATAATACCTGCTACTTCCCAGCCAGGCTTACATATACATCGAGGTGTCAAAAAAGCACAAGGAGCATGGTACATCATAGCGAGTGTCAGCCAAAGAATGCAAAGAAGTGAGAAGGCCACACGGGCCATGGTACTCACAGCTCAGTGCGTAGCGAGCGCGTTCGGAAACAGACATTACACCATACGGTACTAGTATCTGTTTCCGGATAGGGTGCAAGATCGGCAAGTACCACGTACTTCGAAGTACAGCAATCAGGCCCCCTTAATTGAGGGAAATTGGTCCCATTTCCCTCGGAGTATCTCTGTTAAGGTCTCCGAACGTCCCTCGCTAAAACTGGCAAGTTGTTAGGTGTGTTAACGCGCCCAGTGCCGACACATTGCCAATTTCATGTGATAATATCTGTCGGATGCACATTAAAGTGCAAATGGTTGTGAGATGTTCATATCAAAGTGAATCGATAGTTTACAGAAGTCATTTTCCAACCGATAATTTACGTTTCTCGAAAGGAAGCGAGCGCCGACGGAAGGCTTTTAGTTATTAATACACGTGTTTAAGTAGTAATTGACCTGGACGGCACCCAGAAACGACTGCAGTACTTGCCGTAGCATGAACTAGCAACAATTCGGACAGCAAATAAATGATGACTCATTAAAAAATTCGAGCCTAGACTGAAGGCAGCAGGGTGAAGCACTGAACAAATTGCACAAATTGAAAGCGACCACCAGATTACGTGAAATAGTCATTGAATAAAATATTTTGCGAAGAACCTGTTCAAGTTCAACGATAGTAAAACAACTTTTGAAGAAGGATGGAAGTTTGTGAGCGGGCGATTTCAGACGCTGCAGAGCTTTTGTGGGGCCCTGGCTGCATCTTTCACCAACTCTGTCTCGGAAGAGTCTGATTTTCAATCATCGGCTGGGAACGGGATAATATCGTCAATCTCTAACCGATTTCTCCCTAGAAGAACTTCTACACGCGAAGCAGTTCCGACAAGTGTCGACACTTGATATTACTAAGTAGTTAAAAAGAAAAGATTGCCAAGTAGTTCAAAAGAAAAGATTGTCTATGGTAATCTGGATACATTCATTTATACTTACTTATACTATTGACAATGATGTCCCTCACTATCCCTCTATTGACTTGCCTCCTGGTCCCTCTAATAAGCTAATAGGGGGGAAACAGACAATGCACTCCGTTTACGCGAGGGTGGACCATATCGGATTTGCACACACATCAGGTTTCAGCATAGAAACCTGAGGATATTCAAATGAAGCTAACGGAGCATACATCCGGAAGTTTATCAAAGGTCCGAGGGCTCAAAAACGGGGTGCACTACTGTACTTGATTTGTTTAGTACTACCTATCACTAATGCCGTGCGTTGCCCGGGAAGCTCTGGATATTTACGCATCGAAACGCTACAAATACAAGTAAATAATATCTACCGTATAAACATCAATAACATTATTACCCGTAGAGTACATTTTCTGTAATCA